ATTCTTGTAGATGTTTCACATTGACTCCCAAAATATTTTCAAAGTTTTATTTATGAAACTCTACTTACTTGCATAACTGATTACAAGCCAAACTGAAAATGTTCTGTGGGATTCTGAAATAAATTTACTTACTGGCTGTAGAATTTCTTAAGTTCTCCTATTGCATGTGTCAGTCTACCATAGTTGTCGTCATTTCAGAGAACACCTCTACAAACACATGCAGCTCATCACTGAGGGTGGTACTTCCTTCCCTTCCTTCGCAGTTCATCCTCCACGAACACACATGAAATTACTTTACACAATAAGAAATGGATACACCATAAATAGAAGCGATATTAATCACTAACTGCGCTGGCTATCTGACACAGATCATAGACATTAATAATCGTTCACTAAATATCGATTAGCTGCTCTGGAACTGAGTTCCCAGAGTCTGAGATGATAGATGAAGCCTTCATTTATGAAGTGAGTGAGTTTGGTTTCACGCTGGCTTTAGCAATATTCCAGCCATATCAATGAGGGAGACACCAGAAATGGGCTTCACACATTTTGCCCATGTGAGGAATCGAACCCAGGTCTTTGAAGCGTGACAATTAGACGCTTTAACCACTAGGCTACCCACAATCACCTCATTTATCAAGGATAAAGTTCATTTTTAAACAAGAGTCATCAGAAGATGACATATCCCCGACCCCACATCTTTGAAAGAACAAATCATCTGACAGTTACTTAAAAGTCCAGCTTTGATTTTACACTAAGTGCAAATCGTTTCCATGGAAATGATGAAAACATAAATGATAAAAATCTGCAAATAGCAAAAGGCACCACTTCAAGATCTGCCTCACATTGCTGCCAAGTTTTACTGAAAGATATTAAGAAGTTTTTGAAACAAAACCCACCCCTCCCTTTTGAGACTAAATCTAAATCGTTTCCATGGAAACCAGGAAAAATTAAAATGCCAAAAATCTGCAAATAGCAAAAGGCACCACTTAAGGTTCTGTTTAATATATCTACCAAGTTTTGTTGAAAAATCTTGAACGGTTCTAGAGTTATACTCCAGAAACGAAGCCCACCCTTCTTTAAGACTAAGTCCAAAACGTTTCCATGGAAATCGAGAAGAATAAAAATGACAATAATCTGTAAACGTTTTTTGAGTTATGCTCCGGAAACAAAATGATTACGGACGGACGGACTGACGACACGACGACTATATCCCATCGCATTACATGCCGGTGGGATAATAAAATTGTAAGCTCACATATTCATAACACCCAGATTAAGCAAAGAATTGAAAACTGTGGTAATTGTTTGACAATTGTAAGCTATCCAATATAACTATTTCTTATATATTTCTTAGGCTTACACAATCGGAAAAATATGATTTTTTAAATATATGAATGGTCACTTATTTACAGATAACAGCAGCTTTAAGAATATTACTGACTGACTGAGTTTGGTTTTACGCTTTAGCTTTTAGCAATATTCCAGCAACATCAATGGCCGGGGACACCAGAAATGGGCTTCTACACATTGTACCCATGTGGGATTCGAACCTGGGTCTTCCCGGTGACGAGCCCAGCAGCTTAAACCATTGGGCTACCCCCAATCCCTTTAAGCATATTAAGAAGAGACAACACCAAGACTTCTTTGATACGCACTAAAGCTCTGAAAATCAATACTAGGAGTAAATTTGCAGATGCAACAGATTTTATTGGAACAAGAACACAAAGTCATCAACATCCCCCGCAATGGCAAAATACTTTTCATGAATATGTCTACAAGTTATGATTATATCAAATATTTTGGTGTGTATATAGAAAAGCGGAAGGAGAGTATTGTAAGGTTATTAAAGTTCTGCTCAAGAAAGGAGCACTACCACCAGTTTCAGTCCAAGTCAAACCCTTGTTGGCATGGAAATGCAAAGATATTTTCTGAAATCCAAAACTACCAAAGGCACCAGTACACCACCAGACCAATCTATGTGCCAAGTTTGATGAAGAAATAGTGAACAGTTTTAGAGTTCTGCTCCGTAAGACCACTGCTCCCAATTCAGTCTAAGTGAAACTTGTTACCATGGAAACACCAAAGAAACTTTCATTCAGAAATCCCAAACTACCAAAAGTCACCAGTACACCACCAGATCCATGTATGTGCCAAGTTTGGTGAAGAAATATTGAACGGTTTTAGAGTTCCGCTCCGGAAAAGACAAATGTGCATGGACATTTTAATACCCCCCGCAAAACGCGTTACGCGTTAACAAGTTAGCAGATGGAGTGTGACAAATATAGGAGACTACAAGGACTGATAAAAACCCAAGCAGCACTATGACATTGTCTTGCTCTGTGACTGAATGCTGGAAGTGTGGACACACCCGACAACCAGAAGAACACTGGAGTCTGCGGAATGTACGACGGAAATATCCGCACACTGAGGCACAGTCATACGAACCTTTTCTCTCTAGTCCCCCTTATCACTGATAACAAAATCAAGTCTACATGAGCAAATCCATGTTAAGATACAAAACAAGACAAAGTAATCAATATCCCCTGCAATGGCAAAATACTCTTCATGATTATGTCTACGAGTAATGATGATGTCAAATGTTAAGGTGTGTATATAGAAAAGTGGAAGGAGAGTATTGAAAGGTTTTTAAAGTTCTGCTCCAGAAAGGAGCACTATCACCAATTTCAGTCTAAATCAAACTTGTTGCCATGGAAATGCCAAAAATATTTTATTAAGAATTCCAAAACTACCAAAAGGCACCAGTACACCACCAGACCCATCTATGTGCCAAATTTGGTGAAGAAATAGTGAATGGTTTTAGAGTTCTGCTCGGGAAGAGCACAACCACCAATTTCAGTCTAAAGTGAACTTGTTGCCATGGAAGCGTAAAAATATTTAATTCAGAATTCCAAACTACCAAAAGGCGCAGTACACCACCAGATGCAAGTTTGGTGAAGAAATGAAGCGGTTTTAAAAGTTCTGCTCGGAAAAGACAAATGTGCACAGGCGGAGTCCATTTTAATATAAAACTGGAGGTTTTATGGTCAAGTTCAAGCATGTGATCTAAAGCCGATCATATTACAGCAATGGACACCAGCCTCATGTGCAATAACTTTTAGATTTAGATGAATGTTTTTGTAAAACCATGTAATTTTGAACATTTTAACAAGAAATAACTTTTTACTTAAAATATTGAACTTTGTGGACATATCATGCTAGGTTGTGAGGTTTCAGTTTAGCTTTCGCCCGCACTCCAGCAATATTCCAGCTGTATGGTGGTGCTAGGTTGTGACCTGTGTCAAAAATGCTCCTGCATATATTACACATTAAACATTGTATCCATGTGTTGAGATCGAGACAACGAAAAGCTCTGAAATGCCACTTGATTTACATTACATAATTGCAGGGAAATGATTTCCACAAAACATCGTTATTTCACTATTTGACAATTTAGAGGTTGAACCACTGCCAAGCATGTGCTCGTAAATTGGATTGAATTGTTTTTTCAAAAACATTGCAGAAGATAGTTTATAATTTTAAACCTGTTGATAAATTATGCTGAACAGAAATCAAACATGCGTTTAAACTGAGTGAGTTTAGTTTCACGCTGCACTTTCGCAATGTTCCAACTATATGGTGGCAGTCTGTAAATAATCAAGTCTGGACCAGACAATCCAGTGATCAACAGCATGAGCATCGATCTAATTAATTAGGAACCAATGGTGTCCACAAGTCCAGCGAGCCTGACCAACCCGATCCCGTTAGTCACCTCTTACATGCATGGGTTACTGAAGATCAGTATTCTAATCCGGATCTTCACGGGTCTTATACTGTGAAAAGTGATAGATTGAATAAATGAATCATGTCAGGTAGGTTCCTGAATTCATATACCATTTGATGTGCCTACACTTTGGCCAGAAATCCAGTCTGCAGTATTGAATGGGTTAAATTCCATTTACTCTCAAACAAAATTACAAAACAAAGTTAAAGGAAATCCATACACAGAAATAAACCCCCACTTGTAATGCAATGACAAGTTACCTTGGCTTTGTCTCTCATGGATCCCTTTCCTAGGATGGACATCTTGGTACCTGTTTCCTCTTGGAGTCTCTTCAGGGAGCTTCCTTTGGGTCCCAACAATTTGCCAACAAAGTTGAACTGAAAGAAAAGATCACAACATCAATACATTCTTCAACATCAATACAATCAAAACAAACACCTAACATGTTTCACATGAGTACTTTTGTTTTTATAAAATCATTTGGTCACAGTCTGGGTTTTTTGGGTGGATAAATCAGCACAACAATGTTGGCTTCAGAGTGTATTACTTGAAACTCACCAGCTCAAGACAGGTGGGTGTTGTGGATGTAGTGAGTGAACCAGTATATAACTCATATGGAACTTAATAATTATTTGAAGAATAACTGAATGCATTATCTCCGAAACAGGACAGCAATGTGGATTAAACACATCCGTTTGCTGAGCAAAACCTCTTTCGTTTTTCTATCCCTTTTTATCGATTCCAAAAACAGTTCCTTGACTACAATCTACTTTTATTTTGCATATATTGACATTTGGCACATTCCATCCATTTGCTTCAGCCAATCCGGTACCGTATATTCAGAAGTAGGATATAATCAGAAATTGTGTTTAAAATGATTGGTTGAAATCATAATAGCCATGTGTCATACTGAAAATAGCAATGCAAATACAGAACCTCTTATGTGACAAATGAGATCAAACAAGTCAGCTTGTACTACAGTTATGGGTAACAATGTTTAGTTCCACCCAATGAGGTGTGTTAAGTCTTGCAGATATTGTAAATACTCAGATAATGACTTGGTTTTTAGGGTGTTGTTGTCTTTCACAAGTTTGTGTGATGTTTGTGTGTGTTGAACACTCTAATGTCAAGGACAAAAAACATCAGATAGTCAAAATAATGATGAATATAAATGATCAAGTTGTCCAAGTCCAATTTCTTTCCAAAGGTTATGATGAGAGACAAATATGTCCCGAAGTAAACCTATCTCTCACTTTGTCTGTTTCTGACTTTCCACACACATTGTATTGTTTGTTATACTGTACTCCTATAAAATCGACCCCTGGATTTTATGGTGAAGGGGTGAAAGTGAGCCTTTGAAAATTTAAGCCAGAGCGGACAATACTGGTATAAGGACTATTTGGGACAGAATGAATGACAATGACACTACTACTCACTCTGGGGTGTTCTTTCACTGGAATGCGCACTCTGACAGACATAGGCTGGGGGTTGTTTGGATGCACGTCAATCCATGAGACAACTCGCTCTTTGGCCTCTCCTTTCTCTATTCTGCTTATTTCTGTAAACACAAGACATCATAATATGAGATAAACCACATCAACCACATCATGCATGTTCACAATCATTGCAAAATTCTGGTGTTGCACTAATTCCAGGAGACTGAACTAAAGAGAAATAAAACATTTCCAGAAATCAAATTACTGTTACCCTGCAATTGGGCCATGGTAACAACTGACTGGCAGTCCTGAGTTAACCAATTGGAAAAGAATTACAAATAGCATTATAGTTTCAGTAGTGATAACATAAGGTATGTTAGCTGGAAAACGATACACTTATAGAAACCTGACCCAGACCAAACAACCTGCAAGCACCCTGTACTTTAACAAATACCAACTCGTTGGAAATATAGATGCCAGTGCAGTAAGTGCTTTATACACATACAAAGTGTCATAATACACCAGTTTGTGAGTCATGCTTTTGAAGCTAGCTAAATATGGACCACTGACACAGATAGCACTCATTCAATATAACACTGCCACCTTGTAAGTTGTAGTGTAACAAAGTAAGGTACTTCATTCACAATTTGATCAACTAAAATCAGGCAAAATAAAGTGAACTGGGTCTGCTGGCATCCAAATGTGTCCTGACAAAAACTACTTGTCAGAAGTATGAGACAAAACAAATTCTGTTTTGAACAAGATCTAGCTATGGTTGTAAGCATTTTTGGCAAGGCAAAATATTGGCATAAGTTGACAAATTCTTTAAGTTCCGTCTGTATAAAGTGGCAGACACTATTAAAACCTGGAAATTAACCAACTCTGTTCTAAAAGATTCAACTTGCACATCATTTAGTTCAAAATTGTTTGCTGAAGCCTAAAAATGTTGATCAAGTTAAAATTACACTATAAAGACTAGATTCTAAGTAGATTTTCAGGGATAGAAATACTTTTTTTTCTAAGTGTGCCTTTTGGGCACCAGACAAATATTTTAGATGTGCCTTTCAAAAATCAAGAATGCCCACATGTTTTTAGAATAAATAACAATGATGATCATTTGAAATTTATTGTTAAATAAAGAAATGGGTTTATGAGCACTCAAATATGTATGGTATTATTCAGTTTGGAAAAAAATAATGGTTTGGGGGATTAAATGACTAAATGTGAGCTGTGTCTCTAGAAAATTAGGTGTGTCAAAAGGGCATATAGAACATCTTTTATCCGTATCATTTCGATATTTACTGTGCCATGGCACACTAATATATGGTGTATTTCCAACCCTGATTTTGGTGCTATGAAAAACTACCCTTTGAAAAGCTGCTCCACGGACAAATCTTTCAAGCTGCATTTAGGAAAGGTCTGAATAGTTTAGTTGGTCAATTTACTAGAGATAGGTAATGGAGGTTCAAAGTACATCTCAATGTATTAGACCTTTTGAAACTTTACTTCAAAATGAAAATTAGAATATACTCAGAAGTAAAAATATATTTTGACATGTCTCAAATTACTTTTTCAAAACAGATCCTTGAGATAAACCTTCACATGATCATAGAAATGACCTGACATGGCAACATGCTGGAAGGAGCAAGTGTTACTGTTAACACACAGCATGAAAAGAAAATGATGGAGACTAACAAAGAAATCAATTTTTCAATTGGCTACAACCACTAGGTACTGAAGTGGTGGCAGCAGCTGCAGCACAGAAGAAAGCAATAACTGCTGAAGGTGCAGTCAAAAGGAGTGGACAGGTGAACATGCTGATTGCTGTATCCCCTCCCTCCTTTAGTAAAACTACTACCACTGCAGTGTTCACGAATAGCGTCTGACCCTTGGACAAATCCAGCAGATTTGCCAACGGTCTGATAGAACTGTACAACCCGCCGGCCCCGGTGCGACTGTATATTTCACAATGACTTTGACTGAAGTCGTTATATGTGACATGTGGCACTTGTTTGCTGTTAATAAATCTTATGTTTGTTAATAATTTCAATGCCAATTATAAGAAATGTTAAATCTGAAATGCGAGTTTAATTTTATTCTGTGGGTCCTGTGAATTTTCAATGGGTCAGACAGACATCTGAAACTTACAGGACCCAATGTCCTGTTACTTTTAAACACCATTCGTGAACACTGCCACTGAAAAGAAAACAGTTCCCTGTTGTCTAATGAAGGGGTGCGAGAGTGGCAAAGTACAAAGAAACATTGACAATTGTAGTGTCCATGACATCTGGCACCTGTCAATTTGCAAAATTAACTTCATCTATACAAATCATGGTGGGGCATTCTACAGGTGCTCAAAATATTTTAGTGGGGTTTAACGGGGCTTGCCCCTCCTACTATGGACAAGAAAGGGGATTTTGGGAGACATTTTTCTTTTCCTCCTTGCTGTCGATGTTATTCAACGCATGTACATATATCATATGCACTTACTCATTCATAAAAAACATGTGTTGGTGTTTGGTAAAGACCAAACATTGCCAAACACATGTTCATGGAGATGCCATTAAGCTGGTAGGCATTACACGCTCACTGTAGAAGAACATTACTCAATCATTGTTGATTAGCGCAAGTGCCTCCATTTTTGTCGTGGTGACCTTGAAAATAAGGTCAAGGTCACCCAAATCAAATAGTGTCTGTGTAACCCCCCAATGTAGGCTGCCACCAAAGTTGAAGACATTGGGTACCACGGTTCATGAGATATCGCGTTAACAAGAATCGGGACGTACGGACGGAGGCCGCTAAATATATAGTCCCCCGTTCCGCAGGGGACAATAAAAACTTCCTGCAGCATAAGATCCTTGATCTGAACTTTCTCTTATAGGCTGAAAAATTTATCTTAACACTATAGTTCCAAGACTGTGGCTAAGTTTATGAGATCCTGATGCATAAATGTACAATACTTTTTTGCTTTTCTCTGTATTGTGTAAAAAGGCTTCCTGGTAAATTAAAAAAATGTGGCCAGTGTACACTAGCAAACTATGTTCAGTTATTAAATTTTTTATTATGTATGGATACATTTTAGATACCTATGTATGGATGTGCTTTGTATCAAAGTCTTTGTGGCTTCTGATATCCTAGGTTTTAGATTTTGAGTAAGTACCATTTCACTACATGATAAAGGTAGCATGTTCATCTGACCCTCAAAGCAATATCTGGCAAGATATCAGACCTCAGAGATCCCAGTATCAATAAAACGACTAGCTGTAAAAACCTTGGAGTCAACTTTGTGTGCAGACTCCTTCAGTGTTGTCACAAGCCCTAGTGTACAGTACACAACCCTGTGCACTTGAAAGAACCCACGAATCTGTTGGTATATGACCAGATGGTGGCCACATGAATATGTGCAAACACCTAGTTGCAGGTACCGCAACGTGCAGTAAACTTGGACAAAGTACTGTGACTATGTGTCCCAGTCCACCCAGCTGCGAATAGGTACCTCATAAGGATGGGAAAGCCACACTAACTCGGTGCACCTAGTGGCTGCAAGAGTTGTATGATCCCCAGGCAGTTGAGATTGATAACACGCATGACGTTGAGATTGACATCCAGTCATCGAGGGAAAAAACAAAGCGCCTTTGAGCAGCTTAGCTGGATATCGGCGGTATACAAATGTTAGCATGTATGTAGCTACTGACTTGTATACCACCGACTTAACTGATGACATAAATTATGTCTGTGGTAAACTTGATGGTGAACACCGATATGTTGCACCTCAAGTACATTGATTTTACCCAGGGAGCTGCTGTAGCAGTGTACTGTTTGTAGTTGATACTGACCACAAATGTGTAAGATCAAAAGTGGAGAAATGGTTTTCTTTTTCCTTTACTTTTGTCCAGTTGATTTTAGTCATTTAAAACATTTTGCAATCTGTATAGTGTCTATGGCCCAAGATTTTCAAATGTTTAGAATTCACTTTGATACTTTGTTTCTAAAGAAAAGTGATATATTTGTTATCTAGTTACATGTTGCCTGTTCATTAATAGACACTTTGCAAAACGTGTTCGACCCCTAAAATACATAAATTTACAGGTGCCCCCACTTTTTACTTTGTATTTGCTGTTTCAAAATATTTTTCCTAAATGTAAGTTTTGAAAGGATTGATTAACTAGCAACTGATTACCATGTATTTTCATAAAAGAAACTGCTATTTACAATTTATTTGCCATGACAAAGAAAAACAGTGCACTTTGCAATGTTGTGTCCAAATAAATAGAGCACATATCCTTGTTTTTATAAATACACTGCCTATTACACATTTAACAAAAGTGCAACAAAAATATGACGCCTAATTGCTACTACACAAACGCACGTTTTTATCTTTATTTTGAAACAAAACAGGCCGTTTTCTCTTGACCCTCATGAAATCGTAGACGTTTTGTTGAGGTGCCTCTTTATTCTGCAGCCTAATCGGCGTATGCCTTTCTTACACAATGTATTTTCATAATATATTCCAACACTGGAAAAGAAACAAGATATTTTCTTGTAAATATTGGCCTTGGGCTGGGAGTACTGGTTAAATGCAATTGAAACAGCGCCTGGATATCAAAGATTTCACTTTTTCTGAACAATGGGGAAGGGACAACATGGCCGAGCACATGTCGGCGCACCTCAGCCAAATTTTACTGGTTATCTTACCTGATTGAAGCAAGCGCCCTGCATGTGAATTTGGATTTGTTTGGCGGGACTCAAGCCGAAGTTCTTCAAGATAAGTAGTGTTGTCCTGCCCATCCCCAATCCTCATCTTAGAATCGTTGTTCGACATTTTCTGTAAAATTAACGCTACTTTTCTGTCCTTACTTGAACAAACCGGCTTCTTTCCTGACAGCGACTGAGCTCTTATCCCGCGGTACTTCCGATATAGTTCGTGACCAAATAGGTCGCACTTACGCATTCACTCGCTGCAACATGCAAAAAAAATTGCAAACTTTCCGTTTACAACTAAATGATTCAGCAAATAAGCATATTTATGCAGCGATCATATAAGTAATCCTTTTTTATTCTGTGGAGAAAATGTTATTTGCAATTTTGCGTATGAATACAATACAACTAAGGGGCCACCTGCCTGGAAAATCGAATTTCAAGAACGATAACTCCGCTGCGCCTCGGCTTACAAATTGAGAATGTATCGATTCGGTGTTGGATAATATCGTTTCGCACCAGCTTATCTCAAATATGCTTTCATTTTACCTGACAGTTGTTTTTCATTCTGAAATGTACATTATGCATCCCTTTAACCAGCCAGTGTAAATATCATTTCCCTTACAGTACAAAATAACTTTATTTTGGAGAACATATACTGCAGTATTGCATGGGACAGCTGTATACCTGTTCTGGGAACCTATACTTGAATCTGGAGGTTTCTGACTATGCACGTTTGTAAGAATCTGCGACGCCTAAGACATACATTGTATCCCGTACTTGGCATGCATGAACGGCAATGATCTTATTTTGTGAACCACAGCCTCTTTTCAATAACAGAATATAGATAAATAACATGTCTGGATGTTAAGAGTGTTATGATGAAAATGGCCATTTCATTAAAGACGTATGCCCGCTGTGGTGTGTGTGTGCGTGCGTGCGTGCGTGTTTCTTGCCTCAAAAGGTAACTTCATTTCAACGATTTGATTAAAGTGGTCTTACACTCTCAGGGGACAATCATACGACTCTCATAACACAGCCACAAACAAAGCACACACCACTAATACTGTAAAATGTTTGCTGAAGATAAATTCAAAAGTTGTAAATCAATTCGATCTCTCCAAATGCTGATATTATCAAATGAGACGGGACGTTATGATAAAGGTTCATTATGGATTTTCTGAAGGAAATATCCTAGAAATTTCTACACAAATGCAGGCGATTCTGGAATCAGCCCATTGCAGCTCTCCACAGATCTTTCTGTCTAAGTCTAGTATGGCTGCCCGTCACTGAATATCACATGTTCAATGGATTACACTTGGGAAGGTGTTACACAATAAATAGCACAGCCACAGAACAAATGTACCGAACACTTCATGTTTGTTTGTTGTTTTACGCCGCATTCAGCTATATTCCAGTAAATAATCGAATCTGGACCAGACAATCCAGTGATCAATAGCATGAGTATCGATCTTCCCAATTGATACGATTACAAGCGTCAACCAAGTCAAGGAACTTGACCACGGTCAACACGTATATAGTCTGTTTGATTGGCATTTTAGAAGTTGATAAATTAATCAGAACAGTAGCTACTTTGTGGATAACAACCTGTAATACATCTTGCTTGACAGCGGTATAAGAATCTACACCGAAACTTCGCATCATAATGTAATAAAGAAGTTGTTATCCATAAAGTATCATACCTTTCTTATGTGAGTGAGTGAGTTGGGGTTTACGCCGATTTGAGCAATATTCCAGCAATATCACGGCGGGGGACGCCAGAAATGGGCTTCACACATTGTACCCATGTGGGGAACCGAACCCGGGCCTTCCGCGTGACGAGCGAACGCTATAACCATCAGGCTACCCCACCGCCCCCTTTCTAATGTACGTTTATATAGATAGTAAGTTTAAAGTATATCAATCGTTGCATGGAATGGATCCTCGGGTTCTGAATAATGCATTAGGTACAGTAATGGATGAATCACTTCAGCTAACATCTGGTAATCCAATTGTATTTATTTATGCATTGCTTTGCTTTTAACTGAACAATCTGTTGTTTCTCAAAACACTTGAAACTGTGGCAGATACGAGAAGCACTTTTATGTAAGTAATGCACACTGTTCAATTTACGTTTAAGGCATTCAGAGATCTTCTTAAGAACAATTTGTAGTATAATAAGGTATATACTGCTGTATTATGAATGTGTTCGTCTATAACTGACGAAGTTGTGACCAGTTGGTAGCTGTGTTTTGTTAGTGTGTTGGATATATTATATAACTGACGAAGCTGTGACCACATGGTAGCTGTGTTTTGTTAGTGTGTTGGATATATTATATAACTGACGAAGCTGTGACCACATGGTAGCTGTGTTTTGTTAGTGTGTTGGATATATTATATAACTGACGAAGTTGTGACCACATGGTAGGTGTGTTTTGTTAGTGTGTTGGATATATTATATAGTTGACGAAGTTGTGACCACATGGTAGTTGTGTTTTGTTAGTGTGTTGGATATATTATATAACTGACGAAGCTGTGACCACATGGTAGCTGTGTTTTGTTAGTGTGTTGGATATATTATATAACTGACGAAGCTGTGACCACATGGTAGCTGTGTTTTGTTAGTGTGTTGGATATATGATATAACTGACGAGGCTGCGACCACATGGTAGCTGTGTTTTGTTAGTGAGTTGTATATATGATATAACAGACGAAGCAGTGACCACATGGTAGCTGTGTTTTGTTAGTGTGTTGGATATATGATATAACTGACGAAGTTGTGACCACATGGTAGCTGTGTTTTGTTAGTGTGTTGGATATATTATATAACAGACGAAGCTGTGACCACATGGTAGCTGTGTTTTGTAAGTGTGTTGGATATATTATATAACTGACGAAGTTGTGACCACATGGTAGGTGTGTTTTGTTAGTGTGTTGGATATATTATATAGTTGACGAAGTTGTGACCACATGGTAGTTGTGTTTTGTTAGTGTGTTGGATATATGATATAACTGACGAAGCTGTGACCACATGGTAGCTGTGTTTTGTTAGTGTGTTGGATATATTATATAACAGACGAAGCTGTGACCACATGGTAGCTGTGTTTTGTTAGTGTGTTGGATATATGATATAACAGACGAAGCTGTGACCACATGGTAGCTGTGTTTTGTTAGTGTGTTGGATATATGATATAACTGACGAAGTTGTGACCACATGGTAGCTGTGTTTTGTTAGTGTGTTGTATATATTATATAACAGACGAAGCTGTGACCACATGGTAGCCGTGTTTTGTTAGTGTGTTGGATATATTATATAACAGACGAAGCTGTGACCACATGGTAGCTGTGTTTTGTTAGTGTGTTGGATATATTATATAACAGACGAAGCTGTGACCACATGGTAGCTGTGTTTTGTTAGTGTGTTGGATATATATTTTATAACAGACGAAACTGTGACCACTTGGTAGCTGTGTTTTGTTAGTGTGTTGGATAAATTATATAACAGACGAAGCTGTGACCACATGGTAGCTGTGTTTTGTTAGTGTGTTGGATATATGATATAACAGACGAAGCTGTGACCACATAGTAGCTGTGTTTTGTTAGTGTGTTGGATATATGATATAACTGACGAAGTTGTGACCACATGGTAGCTGTGTTTTGTTAGTTTGTTGGATATATGATATAACTGACGAAGCTGTGACCACATGGTAGCTGTGTTTTGTTAGTGTGTTAGATATATTATATAACAGACGAAGCTGTGACCACATGGTAGCTGTGTTTTGTTAGTTTGTTGGATATATGATATAACAGACGAAGCTGTGACCACATGGTAGCTGTGTTTTGTTAGTGTGTTGGATATATGATATAACTGACGAAGCTGTGACCACATGGTAGCTGTGTTTTGTTAGTGTGTTGGATATATTATATAACAGACGAAGTTGTGACCACATGGTAGCTGTGTTTTGTTAGTGTGTTGGATATATGATATAACAGACGAAGCTGTGACCACATGGTAGCTTTGTTTTGTTATTATGTTGGATATATTATATAACAGACGAAGCTGTGACCACATGGTAGCTGTGTTTTGTTAGTGTGTTGGATATATTATATAACAGACGAAGCTGTGACCACATAGTAGCTGTGTTTTGTTAGTGTGTTGGATATATGATGTAACTGACGAAGTTGTGACCACACGGTAGCTGTGTTTTGTTAGTTTGTTGGATATATTATATAACAGACGAAGCTGTGACCAGTTGGTAGCTGTGTTTTGTTAATTTGTTGGATATATTATATAACAGACGAAGCAGTTTGCTGGCGACATACATGGTAGCTGTGTTTTGTTAGTGTGTTGTATATATGATATAACTGACGAAGTTGTGACCACATGGTAGGTGTGTTTTGTTAGTTTGTTGGATATATGATATAACAGACGAAGCTGTGACCACATGGTAGCTGTGTTTTGTTAGTGTGTTAGATATATTATATAACAGACGAAGCTGCGACCACATGGTAGCTGTGTTTTGTTAGTGTGTTGGATATATGATATAACAGACGAAGCTGTGACCACATGGTAGCTGTGTTTTGTTGGTGTGTTGTATATATGATATAACAGACGAAGCTGTGACCACATGGTAGCTGTGTTTTGTTAGTGTGTTGTATATATGATATAACTAACGAAGCTGTGACCACATGGTAGCTGTGTTTTGTTAGTGTGTTGGATATATTGTATAACAGACGAAGCTGTGACCACATGGTAGCTGTGATTTGTTAGTTTGTTGGATATATGATATAACTGACGAAGTTGTGACCACATGGTAGCTGTGTTTTGTTAATGTGTTGGATATATATTTTATAACAGACGAAACTGTGACCACTTGGTAGCTGTGTTTTGTTAGTGTGTTGGATAAATTATATAACAGACGAAGCTGTGACCACATGGTAGCTGTGTTTTGTTAGTGTGTTGGATATATGATATAACAGACGAAGCTGTGACCACATAGTAGCTGTGTTTTGTTAGTGTGTTGGATATATGATATAACTGACGAAGTTGTGACCACATGGTAGCTGTGTTTTGTTAGTTTGTTGGATATATGATATAAGAGACGAAGCTGTGACCACATGGTAGCTGTGTGTTTTGTTAGTGTATTAGATATATTATATAACAGACGAAGCTGTGACCACATGGTAGCTGTGTTTTGTTAGTTTGTTG